ACCACAAAGCACCATTTTCCTGGTTCTGAACTGAATGGAAGGATGGAAAAAGCTCTCAGGACCATATTAGGAAGCAGATGATGGTAGGCAGTGATGGGGCATGATGATGGATGCCCATTCCACTTGGCAAATAGTGTTGTATGGTCTGTCCTGTCCTTTTTAAGCAACCAATTCCCTTTAGACATGGTGAAATCTTAGAGCACCAGCCCACTGTCAATGCTGAAGTAAGATAATGTTGCCAGTTCAGTCTGCTTCTGTATATGTCATAGAGGGGGTATTATTTCTGTCTTTGCGGAAGATATTTTGGGGATAATATTGCAGCGTTAATGAGTGTTGGAGTTTTTCAGAGGGATTCTCTAATCATATTTACTCAACAGGAAGCAGAAAGTAGTTTTGCTCTTCCATTTCCAGTATTTGTCTCATGTATCCAAATAAGAAGGGTGAGCTTATCCCGAATACCCCAAATCTCAGAATACTGACAGACATAAATTGTTCCAGTCATTCAGCTCCTCTCAGCACAGCATGGCAATCACAAGGGAAGCTGCAGTTGTAAACCACTGTCCTGCTTCAAAACTCTAGTGAGAAAAAACTCACTAGAGGTCTCAAGCAGGAAAATACTGTGTTTAGTATTTTTAGTACCCTAAATGTCCATTTGATTTAACTGCTGATTTTCTACTTCTGCGTCAAAGGTCAAGTCTGCTAGAACTTTAACAAGTCCTTGAGTGTCTGTGGTACTGAACCAACATAAAATGTATGTGAAATGAGTATTACATCCACTTTTTCTAACCACTAAACTTGGGCTTCAGTTTGAATGCTACAGTTCTGCAGCCCTCTGGTGGCATGAACTAGAAATGGTTTCATCTTCCATGCAGTATATCTCAGTTTTATCAGGCCCAATCCAGTTTTTGAGTCTGCACACAATCATTTTCTAAGGATGTCAAGAACACTTGTAAAATTTCTCATTCTGAGATGCTCTGCATGCTGAGGTCCCTGTGAGATGTTGTTTGTAGATGTTCCACAGACTGAACATGCAGCTCGTAAAAACTTGTGTCATCTTGTGTATTCAAAATATTAGTGGTGCTAGAATAAAGCTGTGGTGCCCCTGTTTTTTTTTTCTTGAGCAATGCATCATCTTTAACATCCACATGTCAGGCAGGTACAGTGTGGAAATAATCATACCTACTGAACTTTCCTGATACAGACGGGGAATAATTGGTTTGGCTTGGCTTTGAAGAATTTATCCAAATTCACAGATACTTTGGGCCCTTAGTTTGGTATTTGATAATACCATTGGGTCCATTTTGCTTGGTACTGTCTATACCCATCAGCAGTGGCTCGGAAATCCTCTGAAATAAGAATATCCTAGCTCTCTTGGCACAGATCCTTTGCCTTGAGCTGACAGCTGTTGCACCTGAAAGCACCTGGACCCAAAAGGCTTGATAGTGTATAAAGCTTTTACAAACTATACAGCACCAACGATATTTTAGATGTTGTGTGGGAATCAAACAGAATATCACTATTGCTTGCTGTTTTTTTATTTTAATTTTAAATGTGTAGCTTATATTGCTTGTGAGAATGTCTGTTGCCACCCCATGACATCCTTTGGCAGCTTCTGCAGCACTATAGTCCCATGAGGGCCAGTGTTGACCCCTTCCCTCAACTGAAAAGTGTTATGTAAGGAGAACCGAAGGGAAATTAAGATGGAAACCACAAATACAATCAAATGGATATGTCTCCCAGCGCGTAGAGGAAAACTGCTGACAGAGGAGGGAACAGCTCAGATGTCACAGAGAACTCTCACACAGGCATAGCAGTGGCCCCAATTATGGGGTGGAGGCAGCTCTTTGCTGGAAACAGAGAAGCAATCCATGTAAGAAATGATTGGAACCAACAGAGAGGTGAGCAGTAGACAGATAATCCAGATGTGCTCCCTGCCATTTTCTAGATCTATATTTAGATTACTATTCTTAAGATCATTTTCTTCTTCTCCCTAAGGACAATTCTGGTTTTTACTGTCAAAAGGCACTCAAGGATGTCTTGTCTGTGTTGCCAGTAGGAAAAAGGATGTCAAGCGTTACATAGCAGAAGCAGCCTGAATGTTGACAACGCCAATGGCAGCAGTCAAGGTGGTCTATAGGATACCCTCTTCACTACCATTCACAAAGGGACAAGAAGTAATACTAGAAGCTGACTCCTCTTCCCCTCCAAACCACTTTTCACCCAAACACAAAGCAATAATGGCTGTTTTTTTGACAAGTAAGCTCTGCTAAGTAAACTACTCCTAGCCATAAAATTGCCCCAGACCTGGAGCTTATTTCACCTTTGAAAACATGTGTCTCAGAAATCCCAAGATAATGTTTATGAAAGCACTCAGGTCCAGGACAAACACAACTGCTTTCTGCTTTTGTAATGCAGAATTACTTTCCATTCATCTTACAAAATTGTATTCTAATTCTCTGGAGATACATGGTACTGTATCTCTTTCTGGAGGACTCTCACTCCATTACTTTCTTGAAAGCAAGCCTTTGTTTTGCTTTATTTTCACTCTTTAAAGAAAATCTGTCTTTAACTCTGTTTCTATGACTTTTGGTTGTTCTATGTTCGCCATATTTCTCCTGTCCACAGCCACAAAGTTCCAACAGTATACCCGCTTTGCGAAGTTCTTGTTGGCAAGCCTGTTCCATGCATGTTCAGTGTAATAAGAAATCACTGTTTCTACCTTTTGAAAGGCCTTTTTGAGTACCAATAATTCAGCCCCTACAGCCAGGATTCCTTTCAAATAAAACAAGTGGGTGGGGACAACCATTCTTTTTCAAAATACACAAGATTGGTATTCTCAATTTATATGCTTTTGCTAGTATACAAAATCTGCTGTTAAGGGCCTACATTAAGAACCCCAATGGAACTGGCAGACTATCTATCACTCTTAGAAGTGAGAGGATTTAAAAGAGCTTTTACACTAGCAAGATGCTCTGCCTTTCCATCTACCGTCCTTGAAGAGAATTATAGGAATGTGCCTCATGTAGAAAGGCTTTGCTCCTGTTCGCTAGAGGTGGTAGAAACTATGCAACACATGATTTTTACCTGTCCCCACTATGAGATTGCACGTAACCTGATTATTTTTCGACTGATGAAAAAAATCCCAGATCATACAGAAGTAAGTAGATTCCAGTTTCTTCTCTCAGATAAAGACCCTAAGATTACCTATCACATTGCAAGTTTCTGCATGCTGATATTTAGATTCCAGAAATCAAAGTGTAGATAAATTTTAGATGTGTAGATTTTAAATGACTTTAAATTGTACACTTTAAATGGATTTAAATTGTAAGATTTTAAATGGATTTTAAACTAAGTGGTAATTTTGTTATGTTTTTATGCTGGAAAGGTTGAAACTGTAATTGTTTTTGTTTAATTGGTCTAAGGACTATAATAAAATATATATGATGATCTATTTTAAATCTGGGGATGTTTAGAGTCGCCTATTTCTGAAGGAAGGAAACAGTTTTACATTTATAAAAAAATCATAACTCGAAAACTCTTTCCCCAAAAATCCCCAAATTTGGCCCAGAGCAAAAGCAGACAGTCTGCTACAATGGCGCCACATCTAGTGCTGATTAGAGATGGGCATGAGCCTCAATTCAGAGGTTTGTGGCAGTTTTTCAGACCAGCACTACAGGTGCCACGCTTTCCCTTCCAACCCCACCCCACTCCGGCCAGATCCTCCAGTCACCATCCAGCACATGCTACTCTTCTCCTCCTCTTTGGGCTTTCAACTGGTCCCAGCAGGAGCATGTGCTTCTCTGCTTCCTCCTGCTGGCTGTTCTCCTCCAAGGCATATTGGAGAATTAAACTCCCGACCCCAGCTCTGCAGCCAGGTGCCTCATACCACTGAGCTATCCAACCAGCTCCAGGAATGTAGAAGCTTCCGGCTCACTGTTTTCACTGACCAGGAGAAGCTCCCATGTCTCACTCAGGGGACTTTCATAATTTGGAAATGGCAGGTTGTAGTTTCTGGCAATCAAATACTGTTCTCTCCCAATGAGCTATCTCCAGTATTATTCATGTAGAATAAAAGTGACCCACCTCCCAGGTATGGCTTGTGCAGACTTCTTGGTATTGGAAGAACCACATAAATAGAGCTCTTCCTGTTGGTTTGAACTGGTCAGGGAACAAATACAGAAGAGACAGTCAATATGTCAGATTGTGCCTCATAACAGAACTTTCTAACCTGAGGAATTCCCAAATCTCATTGCACTGCCATTCCCAGAATTCCTCACCACTAGCCAATACAACTGCTGCTTTGGGGAGCTGAAATCCAACAACATCTCAGGACCCAAAACTGGGAGCCACTGGGTTAAAATGACTTCATCAAATTTGTAGGTGACATTATCTAAGTTCTCTGTTCAAAGAGTTTGTGTATACTCCTGTTACTCTAATTATTGGAGCTATAGTTAGCATCTCTTTGTAAACAAAATAACAAGCCTTTTTTAAAACAAAATAAAAAAAATTATACTACATATAACTTGAAATAAGACATCCTTATGAAACAATCCAGGACTGGGATGAACCCATGCAAAACGTCCAATGGAATTCTTTGGACATATCCTGTAAAGCCACATGGCTTTGTTTCTGCATTCACTCTTTCTCTCCTTCTAATCCACCCAGCAAAAGCAGGACATCTCTCTTTTCTTTTTGTCAGGTCACATACAATTTAAATAGTACTGCTGACAGAACTGAAAACAAACAAACCTAGAAAAGAGAGAGAGAGAGAGAGAGAGAGAGAGAAGGTGGAGCCATTTCTCCTGCAAATAAGATGGGGGAGGGATTATAGTTTAATGAGGCAGGTCAGTTATTAAGAGTGTGGTGGGACAGCTGAGAGCTCTCCCTTAGAGTAGTTAGTCTCTCTATCCTAGTGTCAAAGGAGTATTTCAAAGTGGACAGGGTGTGTGTGAATCATCCAAAGGGGATTCTTGGGTCCTCAGACGTCTTCCTACACTGCCATGTATCGGAGCAGTTACCTGCGTGAAGTTCGCAAGGAGAAGTACGAAAGGTCAGATGCTTATGAAGAACTGCCAGAAACACCAGAATTTGGCAGTCTTGCCCAAGCCCAAGGCCTGGAGAACCTGCAAGAACTCAACGAACGGTTCACCAACTACATCAATCGGGCCCGGGTACTTGAACAACGTAACGCCATCTTCCGCAAGCAACTGGAGACATTCCAGCGTGTGGATGAACTGGCTGGATTGGAAGAGGTATTTTCTGTGCAGGTTGAGCTCAGCCGCCAGCGTATCCGTGAACTGGCCTCAGACAAACTGAAGCTGGAACGTGAGGAGAAAGATGCTCAACGCATGCTGGATGAATTCCAGAACAAGTAAGTAGGGGAGAAAGGAGGGACAGTTTTCTGCATGGTGCCCAGAAATATTTGCTGTCACGGTTTCATGTATATCACTCTTTGTTGCCAAAGACTATGTTATTTAACCGCCTCCTGCTCTTTTGAATCAGGGTAGTTGCCCAAAGTAATCTATATTATGGCTATAGAAAAAGAATCAGCAACTTTGGCAGGTCTAGTGGCCAACTGGGGAGAACTGGAGGTGCAAGAAATGGATACAGAGTATAAATTTATGATGCTATCAGAAGTGCAAAGGCACAAAGAGAGAGAGAAATGTCAGCTAAAACTAAAGCCTCCAGCTAACAACAGTAATAATGAGCATCCAACTGGTCCAAATCTTCATCTCAGGAAATGACTGATCTTGGAATGTTCAAGGAATATAAATTCCTGGTTGCTTGCACACAAGAAGCTTTTCTGTGTTTCTTACTGGTGAGGATGGTAAGGAATTTCTTGGTGCTCTTGACAGGGTTCTTCTTGAGCGTTGTTTTGCACCAAACTGCCCATTTTCACTGAAAATTACACATTCCCACAATTGCATACGTTGCACTGGATGGGTTTTTTGTACCTTTCATGGCAGTCAGCCAACTCAGTAGTTCTTGCTGTCTGTGTGATTGTGTGTGTGTGTATGTGTGCTTTGCTCTGAAAATGGAAAGGATGTTGAATACAGAGCAGATACAGAGAGCTTGTAGGTGGCAGAGAGTTCTTCTTTCCACTCTTGGCAGGGTGCACGGAATCTCCCAGGGTTTTAACTTCCTGTGTTGTGACATCTTGTCATTCTGAGAAAGCCTAAATAGATAAGAAAGGGGAATTTAGTGAATATTCTTTCCATCTCTAGTTTTCTTTGAATACAATTCAAAATTGCCACAGCCAGTTTAATCAATAATTCATTATGATTTTTGTTATCTCTAAGAATGACAGTGAACAGTAACAGGAATTAAAAAGAACAAATGTGGAAGTCGAACGAAAACATCTGTGTTTTGAAAAATCAGGCATAATACCAACATTTGTTGTTATGGTGGCAGCTCACTGAACAAAAATGACAACTTGACAAATACATAAAATTAAATTTAAACTGTGATCTCACACAGTCTCTATCTATCTCCTTCTCTATCTCATATTCTCTCGTTACCCGGCGGATTCCCCAACACATGTACATACACTCTTGTGCACATGCATACATACATGCTGTTTCTCCTTGTCGCCTCACCTCACTTCTCCTCACCTCTCTTTCTCGCTTCTCTGCTCTCTCATCCCCAACACATGTACATACACTCTTGTGCGCATGGATACATGCTGTTTCTCCTTCTCGCCTCACCTCACTTCTCCTTACCTCTGTTTCTCTCTTCTCTGCTCTCTCATGTACGTTCTCAAGACTGTCCCACCTTCTCACAGACATTCCAGGAGTCCCAAAGACACACTCTCATGCACACCCTGTGCATACAGATCATCCCTATATATTAAGTTATAGGTAGGTTTGAAAAAAGTTTCCAAGATCTTTCTGTGAGACACAACAGAAGACCTTCATTCTATGCTTTATCTCCATTTTGGCAGCACAATATTTTTGTTCTCTTGATTTCTTTCTTGAAGAACCACCACTTTCCATGTTCTTTCCACATGGCCCCCTAGATGGCCTGTGACTGGGAGTCTGGAGGGCACCCAACCTGAATGTAGGAATAAGAGAGCAAGAAAGACATGAGCCAGGTGTCTGGAAATGAAATGGGAAAGCCTGTGGCACAGCAGCAGGGGAAGAGGGATTAAAAGAAACTTAGAAGTCATGTAGGGACTTCTCAAGGTTTTTAGGGGCACTGTTCTTTCTTTCTGCCCATAGCTGGTTTCCTCGAAAAATAGCTGATTTGTTACCACTGTGTTTTTTGTACAGCAAGTAAACCCATCCTACAGAAAAGAGCCTTACAGGGCAATGCTGTGCATACCACTCAGCAGTTATGCCTCAGTGACTAAAATTCTGTGGCACAGCTCTGCAGGAGTAAGGTGGTGATGTCATCACCAGTGGCAAATTGCTGCTAAATTTAAGGTGGTTTCAGGGTGCACTCATACACAATGCAACCAAGTTTTGTGTACTTTGGAATTGCCTGAGCAAATATTTCCTCAGCAGTGATTTTCCTAGTGACACAACTGGATTTCAAGTTCCTCAATTTGCTCCCAAAGAAGTGCATATAGGATTTCAGCTGTTTTACAATTTGCAGAGTATCCTCTCCCCACAGAATCCCACTTAAATGTTAAAAAATAGTCGGCAGAATGTTTTAAAAAATAGATTTGTATTTCACTGTTCAGCCTTCCAAGTCTCTAAAACATACATAGGACTTGCCTCTTGTTGCTGTTTCCTATAATTCGTGTACACAATCCATCCAAAGTTCAACATTTGTCATCCTGTTCCTATGCATCCAGCAGGACTTTTTCTCATGTAACCATTGCAGACTTTGAGACCCAATTTGTTCTTAACCCTATGCTGAAATCTTGGTCACTGGGTCCTGCCATGTCCATTCAAAGTAAAATCCCATTCTCATCTGCTTTCAAGTTAATTTGATTCTGAAAATGTTTCCTTAAGGTCAAAACCTTAGTTAGAAGTATTTATCTTTGTTTTGTAAATTCCTTCTCTTCCTTCAGAAGGCTCTACTTCTCTTTAATGCTCTGGAAGGTTCTCCTTGACAATCCTCTATGTTTCTCATCTCTTGCTCTCCCAAAAATAAAAGTGATCAGCTGTAACAAATATCATATAACCACGTGGCAGAATTTTGTGAGCTGTGGGCTTTTCCCATTTCTTTGTTTTAATTTGCAGGAAAAGAGGTTTTGCTGACAGCTTTTCCTTTGGAGTTACTTGATAAGGGGACCTTTGTTTTTAAGGTTACTTCACATAATAAACTAGAGTGGCTTTTTAAATGTTTTTGTCTTGTTTATGTTATTGGTGATAATGAATAATGCCATCACCACCAACAGAATAATTTGCTTTTCATGTTTTGGAGACATGTGATCTACAGACAAGTGCAAGGTATGGGACATTTCAGAGAGTTCTTAAGCCCTGTGGTTGGCTGGCTGGTTGATTAGTTTATTGACATTGATTTAAACATTTATCATCATCATCATCATGTGTCATTAAATCACTTCTGACTTATGGTGACCCTTTTCGGAGTTTTCCAGTTAGGGAATACAAAGAAGTAGTTTACCATTCGCTTTATCTGGAGGTGCCCTGAAACTGTGCAGCTTGCCCAAGGCCACACAGGCTGGCTTTACCTGCAGGAGGTGCAGTGGGGAATTGCACTCCCAGCCTCTGGCTCTGCAGAACGATATCCATACCACTGAGCTATCTAGCCAGCTTCCTATCCTATGTCATAAGATCTCATGGGGGCAGCAATGCTGTGGGCTTTTCTGCCCTGCCTTCTCATCTGAATGGGTAGCTGCCAGAGGAGATGGAGAAGGGAAACACACACTGCTGCCAGTGATCATGTAGGGGAGAGAAACACACAGTGCCCACAGAACAACTGTGCGGACACTGTGCTCAACTGGGCTGAACCATGGTTAGTGCCCATCTTTAGTCATGGAGAAATGGACACACTTGTTCAAACCTAACATCACTTTAGGGAACTGCAGGAAATGTAAAGGGTAGTTTGACTCAATTGCTCAGTGGTGCTCAAAATGCAAGGACCATAACCAGTCAAGTCAACAGAGGAGGTGGTTCCTCCACAGGAAACTTAGCCTCGGGGCTTTCTCAAACCTTCGTAACCCAGAGGATGATAAGGATTACAAATCTGAATAAATAAATACAGATTATTCCAATCAACACCAATTAGGTTTGTACACTCTTGTTTCCTCGTTACACATTAGAGAAAGAGTTTGGAAGGTTTTCCTTCTGCTTTTAGTTAACTACAGTACAGTATCTTATTTCATCCACACAGGAACAGCCAATGTCAGCTGTGGTAAGTTTTAGAAAGCCAGCTTTATGAACTGTGATTTGAAGTTGGCTTAGTAAATGTTAACCACAGTTTGTCAGTTCTGACAAAGCACAGCTGAGCAAAAGCTTCCAAATTCCTATTCTCACCAGGATGGGAAGAGAATAGGAGATGTGGGATAGTAGGAGGGCAACAGGAAACTCAATCTGTTCACAGGGAGTACAATCATTATCACAGAATCAGAAAGCAGACATCTGAGCCATGTTGTGAATTCTTTTTCTTGTTTGTTTGTTTGTTATTGACAGTTGCCATTTTTCCTTTCTTTTCTTCTTTAGATATAGATTCTTTTTCTTATTTGTTTGTTTGTTTATTTATTTATTATTGACAGTTGGCATTTTTTCCCTTTCTTTTCTTCTTTAGATATAGGAATGAATGTGAGTATCAGCAGATGCTGAAAACAACCCTTGAGCAACTTAATAAGGTGAGTTTATCACATCTCATTCAAATCTTATTTCTCCCCAGCCCTTTGCTTCCCACCCCCCTTAGTGTTATTTGTTAATGTGACATCAGAGCTCCTGTGCAATACATGCTACTATTTTTTCCCTCCCAACTGCTCTTGCAATGGAAATGGACATGGGTGTGTGGGGTGTCTACATTTTTCCAGCTCAAGAACAATGCAAATTGAAAATCATGAAGAAAGATTTCTGGAACAAGTAGTCAAGTGTTATGAATTCATATGAATGCACAGTGGAATGCTCTCCCTCCCTCCCTCCCTCCCATACATACATACATACATACATACAGACAGACAGACAGACAGAGCAAAATTAGCATGTTCTTGATTAGGTGTCTGAAGGTTCAGTAGAAAGGAATAACTGCATATAAATATGATTATGAATAGAAGACTGCCTGCATGAGGACCCAGAGCTAACCCTTTTGCATAAATTTGGTTTCCATGGTAAGGAAGAAATACATAAAAACTTTTGAGAATGTATTCTTTTCAAGTGAAATTTAAAATACACCTAAGCCAGACTGGGAGGGAGAAAAAAGGCTTTATGGCACAGAACTTGAGAAAACAACTGACATTTTTGGAAATAATCTCTTTCTTCCTTTTGAGACAAGCATGTAAAATTAAAATTAAATAGCTGCTTCATCGCACTGGGCAATTTGATTTTTTATATGCAAGGGGGGAAAAAGAGATATTCTTTACCTCCAATTTATATTTTTGATGGCTATGAATTTCTTTGCCTCCTTTTTTAAAATAACCTACTGCTGATGTTTCAGCTTATAGTGCTTTCCCCCATTCCTTTGTGCTAAATCACAAAAGATGTGCCACTCCAAGTCCATTGCCATAACTGCTATGATTCTTTCCATTATGCTTTGAAAGAGTGAGAGGATCTTCACAATTTCTCCTTTGAGGGGGTTCATATCTGATGAATCTTTAGTTTCAAGTGAAGTAGATATGAAACAGAATGTATATGTGCATACTGTACATAGATGCACAGGAGGACAGTGGTATCAGAGAGATTTGGGAGAATGGGGTTCATATGCCAGATTTAGAAAGAAGCGTGTAGAACAGCAATTGGATAATCACTTTCAGCTTCATTTTTATAGCCCATCTCTGAATTAAATTTAATTAATCTTTACATATATTTATTGCTAGAGATGGGTATGAACTGTCAGTTCAGTGTATCTGGAAGTTAAGTCATGGCAACTGGACTTCTTTCTTATTAGGTTGAAATGTAATCGCTACTCATCCAAGTAGATTCTTCAAATGTTTCAACCTAATAAGAAAGAAATCCAGTTGCCATGCCTCAACTTCCGAATAAACTCACCTGGATGAATGAGAATCTTTACAGATATGTCAGTTCAGTGGTTCATACTGGTTCGTTAGGTGGATGCACATATGTCCTGTGGTTGCCATGGCTTCCGTTCCCCGCCTCCTCAGACAGGCACCCACTCAGAGGAGGAAATGGGGCAGGGAAGCCCAAGACGCTACCTCTCAGTGGGTGCCCACCCGAGGAGGCAAGCGGGGTTGCTGCAGAACACATGTATTTAAAGAATGAACCATTACAAACCACCAAAATGGGCACTTTGTGTCCATCTCAACTTATTGGTTCAAATCCTGTTCCTTAGCATAGCAAGTCACAACTAGTGTAGACCCATTTGAATCAATGGAACTTACAGAGAGTTGACTCACCAAATCCCCACTGATTCAGTGGCCCTACTCTAGATCAAATAGCTCAGTGGTTTAAGGATCTGGCTGCAGAGCCAGAGGTTGGGAGTTTGATTCCTCACTGTGCCTCCTTAACAGGGGCTGGACTTGATGATCCCTAGGGTCCCTTGCAGCTCTGCAGTTCTAAGAGCATTTTTCCCATCACACTGGCATATATTTGTGGTATATAGTCTCCTGTTAGCACTGTTTGGCACAGAAAAAAATTCATCCGTTTTTATTTCTACAGTACTCAAAATGATCTGTCCTTCCTGTTTAAGAGCTGGCCTGTATCTTTTCGGCACAGGGCTAGGGCATTCAGTCTTTTTGGGATGATTCATTGAGATGCAAAGTAGCTCTTTGTTTTGCCTTTAAATATTGGTACCAAAAGTTAAAGTAGATTGCACTGAAAATAAGGACCATTTAAGCACCAGTTGGATCACACCAAATTTCACAGTGTGGACAGACCCTTACAATACTAAGCAATGGATATCAGCCAGTATAAGATTAAATGTAAGAAGACCTCTTGCTTGCAGCCTTTTTGAAAGGGCTGTGGATATATCTATGTTCCAATTCAAAATGTCTTTTACTGAGCATTTGCTCAGATTTGATAAACTTGTTATCCACTGCCCTCTTTCTTCTACCAGCCTTGCCCATCACTTTTCGACTCTGCATCTAGTTCTTGCTGTAATATGACCCAGCTTTGCCTCAATGTTTCTTACTATCATTATTGTTAGACAACATTTCCAAACCTGGGAGCAAGGACTATTGAACTCAATGGGACTTACTTTTGAATAGTCAAGCACAGGACTGCACTGTTCAGCTCGGTTGAAAAGCCTATTTCAGGCTGTCTTTATCTGCATTGCTTCGATGTTCCAGAAGCACAAGAATGCTTCATACAGAACTGAGTCAAAATGTATCGAAAATATTTATACAGGTATAAGAAAAACTGTAGGCACAAATGTAAATATAGGCACAAATATAAATATATATCCTTGGAACTTATGAAAAGTTACAGGTGTGATCGCCATCCAAAATTCTTACAACTATGAGAAATTGCAAGCCAAAGTACATTCAAAAACAAAACATAAGTTGTAAGTAGAATTTAAGTCAGCTTTCAATCCAAAATACAGGAGCACCTCCTTATTTACACATTGCAACATAAACACATTCAACTTTCAGGATTGTAACAGTATAGCGACCTTGTTTGCCTGGAGAGCTAGCAAGTTGTTTTGCAATGACTATAGTAAGGTAAAGGTTAAGGTAAAGGTTCCCCTTGACAATTTTTTTTGTCCAGTCGTGTTCGACTCTAGGGGGCGGTGCTCATCCCCGTTTCCAAGCCATAGAGCCAGCGTTTTGTCCGAAGACAATCTTCCGTGGTCACACGGCCAGTGCGACTTAGAGACGGAACTCTGTTTACCTTCCCACCAAGGTGGTCCCTATTTATCTACTTGCATTTACATGCTTTCGAACCGCTAGGTTGGCGGGAGCTGGGACAAGCAACGGGCGCTCACTCCGTCGCGTAGATTCGATCTTACGACTGCTTGGTCTTCTGACCCTGCAGCACAGGCTTCTGCGGTTTAGCCCGCAGCGCCACCACGTCCCTTTCTCCATTTACTGTAGTAAAGTGTTGTTAAAACATAAATTTGAAACCACATTAATTTTCAGGGTTACTTTTTATACACCCCTTTAATTATTTTAATACTCTCTATATATAACATTTCACATCACAATAGGTTCCTCCAAGATTTTTGCAATCTGATTCTCCATCATGTTTTTCTACCCACTCTTTGTCTTTTCGTCCTGCTAGAACAAATTTTAAAAAAACTAACTTGAGCTAAACTACATTCAAGAGTAATAGACAGAGTGATGAACTAGGTTGGTGAGCTAGAAGACTGGGTTTAAATCCTCACTTAGTCATGAAGACAGACAGGGAGATGGAAAGGCTAGTAAAACCACCAAAGAAAGTGAAATATCAAGTCAGAATAGATGTATATCAACCCAAATAGAATTCTCTAAGTAAGTGAAATATTACTTTCAAAGTAAGCAATATTTCACTTACTTTGAGAATTCTATTTGGGTTGATATGTCCATTCTGACTTGATTACACATGACATGCACACACAAAATAAGCTAAACTCATCCTCATCTTAAGCTTAAGGAGGACAAGTCTTAATGTAGGAGATTTCAGCTCTCTGAATTAGTTTGTTGCATATGTTGAAGGAGAGTTTGTGTTCTGAGAGATATTTACATGGTAAGTTGATGGAGACAGACTTTGCAGGAAATCAAGGGGGTGATAAATATGGGGAGGAATAAATATTCCAAAAGTGGCCAGCTTGAGCCCAAGGTAATGCTTTTTGATAAAGTATGAGCTCAAGGTAACACCTTATGTAGTTCCAGTTCTAGTGTAATCCACCTTTGCCTCAGTATTCTTCACCATCATTATTGCTAATGATACCCAAAATATGAAAAATAAAAGGAACATGGTAGCTGGAATCTAATACCAACCTCCAAATCATGGAGAAAATGTGGACGAAACCTGTGAAAACCAAATTACAAGAATTTCAAGGGGAAACAATATAGTAGTTAGGTGAGATCTCATCTACCCTAATATCTGTTGGGTAGCAAATTCTGCCAAATATGGCCCTTTCAAGGAATCTCTGGCTTCTGTAGCTGACAATTTTCTCCTACAAAAAGTGGAGGAAGAAGCTAGAGTCAGCTATCCTACGTATATTTGGTTCTAAACAGACGGGATGATTTTGTGGAATGAGTGGCAGCAAGGGGGCTTTCTCTGGGGGAAAGTGACCATCTTCTACTTAGGTTCTTGATTACAAAGGAAACAAAAGCAGAATGTAGTTGCACATATATGCAGAATTTTAATAAATCAACTCTTAATAAATGCAGAACAATGATAAGTAAGATCCCATGGCAGACATTTCTTACAAGAAAAGGAGACCAAGATGGGTGGGAGTTTCTTAAAAAGGAAATTCTAAAGTCCCAACTAGAAAAAAAATACAACAATAAAAAAGGTGAGAGACAGGAGAAAAATATCAATGTGCCTTCATAACAAGCTCAGAGAGGACCTGAAAACATAAAAGGGTGCATATAGGAAGTGGAAAGAAGGCCATGTCACAAAGGAAGTGTACAGATATATAGTAGTGATTATGTTTGGAAGGAAAAAGCTAAGAATGAGCAAGAGACACTGAACTCAACAACAGCAACAACAAAATATTCAGGTGTGTGCATAGCAAAAGACAGAGAAAAGAAAT